GAAACCACTATCTGATTAAGCCTCAGTAATCTCCTCTCCTTCTCTAGTACCAGCTATACACGCTCTGTGTTTAAGGTCCTAGTGGGTTGGATATGAGGCAGATTCAGGTTAAAATTCCATTTATCATTTGATTCCCACAATCATCCTTTGTGACCAGTAGTCCAGAGTGGTATTCTGGGTCCCCTGTTCTTTAGAGTTAGTTCAGAAATATTCTACAACAGTACCCCAAAGACCTGGTATTTCCATTTCTTCAATGCAGTTACCTTGAAGGGAGAGGCCAAGCTGAAAGTTTACGGTTTATCTGTCCTGTCATTACAATGCATGTCTTCAGGAATTTGCACTCTCTTCTCCACTCAAAAAGCTCTGGGTCTGCGAAGTGACTTAGGACTAGAAATTGAAAAAGACATTAAAAATTTTTGTTGTAGAGGCTGGAGTCCAGCCTCTCTTCATTAAACCTAGATATCTTATAATTTATTAAGTTGGAATTTTTTGGATGCCTGTTGTATGGGTCATTTGATCAAGTAACCAAAGTGGTCAGTGCAGACCAGAGCATTATGATTACAACTCAACTCTCCTAGCAAATGCAATAACCTTTTCCTCCTACTTCTTGCATTATAAGTGTTTCTGCCTGATGTCAGCCACCTTAGCATCCCATTATCTACATTGAAGGCAGTGTTACCTATGAGCACTCCTGGTCTATAAAAGGTAGTCAGTGTTGTTCACTGATGCTGGCTTTTCCCTCCCTGGGACACTAAGGGATAGCTCTTGGCTGTGATTTTTGCTTTGAACCGAGAATTTGGAATTACGAACATCTCATTATCTCTTTATAAGCTGTGCTGTGGAATTAAAAGCACATGATTTGTCTTCATTACTCTTTATATTGTTGTTCCATGTTAGTAGCCACTGGATCTTCTGAAGTCTTGCTTTCATTGGTCACTTCATTTCAAGTGACCATAGTTAATAATGTGTTGCTTTGGTACTGCAGGCTGCCAGATTTTACTTTTTTTTTTTCTTTCTTTCAGAAACCATCTGGGATTTTAGAGCCATCAGCCCTTAGAGAGCCAGAACTAACCATAGATCTTTCTGATTTTCCTGAGGCTAAATTGCCTTCAGCCCCTTCTTAGTTGCAATTTAGTATCAACCGGAGCTTTTCTCTTAAGCAGCAGAAGTTGTCTTGGCTAGTTAAGAGTAAAAAGCTTATTAAAAGGAAATTGAGTATCTGACCAAATTGTTGAGAGCTGGAGAATCAGGGTCAAGGTTAAGCTTCTAGAAACAATGCTAAAACTATACCACAAAACTTGCTTAGAGATAAATCCCCCTTTGCTGGGACATTCTCATCAAGAACTAGAAGAGCCCATTGCCAGTACAACCATTTCAGTAGCCAAGAGTTGAATTGAATGTATCTCATCTTTATGAGCAAAATGGATGTTACACAGAGCTTCCTTCCTCTCATTTTGCTGAATCAAAGTCCATCCACTTGACTTTGATTAGCAGAGCCTTCGGAGTAGAGCAGAATAGATAACTATGTTTTCTGGGTTTCACCTAGGGGAGTCATACCTCATAAGGCTAAAAATTCATCAAACACAGGAAGGGTATCAAAAATCAGGGAACATTACAAATGGCCACTACATATTTTGGGAAGTTTTTCCAAGTTGCTATAGTTACTGTAGAAATATTTTTCCAGCCTTTTAGTCTCATAGCTAATTCTAAATCTGATCCTTTGAAGTCAAACTACATGGGTTTCATTCTTACTAAAACAGTACTTTAGCAGTCGCCAGGTTCATCAGACATCTTGTAGAAAATTTGCCACTTGGCCACCACAATTTCAGACTTTCTCAAATAATCTGACGTTTCTACAGTTAAGCCCAAATGATGTGATACTGTTCAGAGGATATGAAGTATTTTGGATAGATAAGGTTTTCTTATGCTAAAAAATAGATAGTTTTAGAAGGTATATATAGATTTTTTTTTTTTTAAGATTTAATGAATAAGGTTGTTCTTGAGTAACCAACAATTTTATCTTTCGTAATTTAGGGACATCTTATATACATTAGTCATAGCACTTGTTTTCATAGAGTGATAGCCACAAAGATTCCTAAAATAAAAAGAACTTGATTAACTTGTCTTTTTACTGAATTCACCTAGATTAAGTTTCAGTTGTGTCCTGTGTCCTCAAAAACATCTTTGTTCTCAGTATTTACATCACCCTCATATTGGTGGATCTCTTTTCTTCTACAGCCTCTCCATTTTCTTGCTTTCAGATCAGACCTTTGCTATTTTTTTCAACTCTAAATTAAAATTGAAGAAATCATCAGAAACTATATAGCAAAGTACTTTTTATCAAATTAAGTTACATATGTTCTAAGTCTGAAAAAAGAGTCTTTGATCCTTAACTACATAGTAAGTGTATAGGTTTTGTTGTCTCTATTTTCACTGGTCCTGTTTACTTCTATCTTTCTTTAAGATTCTGGGCTATCAAAGATTATGGCTGCTCAAAATCTGGCTGCCAGTCAGAGCATTATTATGCTAGTAAGTTTCAAAGTTAGATCCCTCCAATCCACTTGAGTCTTTTCCAGATAATGTTTTCCAATGTAGATAATTTTCTGAACATTTGAATAGAAGTACAGTATTTTAGGATAAATCCTATATCTAACATTCAGTGTACATTGGGATTGATTCATTAAATGATCACACTATTCTTGTCACCAACATTTTTTCATATTTTCATATGTTTTGCATGTATAATATGATCATTACCTTGTACCAGGAACATATTAATCATAGTTTCTTTGCCATTTTACAAGAATTTTAATGTCTGCTTTTTATTCATCTGTGGGGACATTTGGTATATAAAATAACTTTGATGCTTAGTTTTTCCTTTATAGTTTAGAGTGCTTATTCATTTAAGATTTAGTGTGACTATAATATATTCAACACTTTGCTTTTGTCCTCAATATTTATTCCATTCCTGTGGTTCACATTTTCCTTTTCTTATGTATCATGTGTTGAAAATGAAAATATCTTGTCTGGGGTGGAGCTTAGCCACTGGACTAAACAAACATGCTCTCCTTCTGCTCTTAGTTGATTTTAGTGGTTAAATTACTAAAAAATTCTGTTAATAAGAAAGAACTTTTACATCTACCTTTTTTGTGTACTTTCATAGTTAGTAAAATTTCCTTCCTTTCACCTCTCCCACCAAAATGCAACTTGCTTACTCATATTTCTTTTATATTTAAGACCCTGACATTAGTAGTCAACAGATTAATGAAAATAGCATAGATATTCAAGAATCAAAACTTTTGAATTTAGTGAAAGAAATTAAACCACTGGGCAGCCTGGTGACTCAGCGGCTTAGCCCCTGCCTTCAGCCCAGGGCGTGATCCTGCAGACCCGGGATCGAGTCCCACGTCGGGCTCCCTGCATGGAGCCTGCTTCTCCCTCTGCCTGTGTCTCTGCCTCTCTCTCTCTCTCTGTGTTTCTCATGAATAAATAAATAAAATATTAAAAAAAAAAGAAATTAAACCACTTGAACAGATTTCCAAAACTCATAGGGTATCTATGATGGGCTATCCAACTCATGTTCTTCTTATGTCAGAGGCAGAAGTGCAAGCGGAAAAACCCAAACACATGAATACTGCAAGTTTCTGATTCTGTCACCTCTGATTGTGGTTGAAAGCAAGTCTTATATGGCCAAGCCGAAGGTCAAAAGGCAGAGAAGTACATTCTACCCACCATGAGGCCAAGCATGTTTTACAGTCAAATTCAACATCAATGGAGTAGAAAACTAATCTTCCCATGGAAGTGGGGGAAAAGAATGGGTTAATAGTTGCCAAATAGTAATTTAATCTCTACACCAACTAATCTAGGTAAGCTATCCTCTCTCCTACTAACCTTACTTTTTCATATTGTGACCCCATTTATTTTCTTCTTAGTCCATATCATTTTCTGAAACTATTTTGTTTGTATTGCATTATTTATGCATTCATTAAATATCATCAGACACCTAGTATGTACAAGGCAGTACTCTATGTACTAGGAATGCATCCATTAAAAAAATAGATCAAAAACCCATGCTAATTGCCTGTCTCCCTCACTAAAGTATAAGCTCCAAAAGAGAAAGAACCTTGTCTGTTTTGTTCACCACTGTGTTCTCAGTATCTCAGAATAAACTTGGCACATAGCAGATATTCAAGAAAATTTTGTTTCATAAATGAAGAAATGCCATTAAACATTTATGTAATCTAACTCCATTTGCTCAGACCCTCTGCTTATTAGGCAGCTCTCTGATTGTGATTTGTTTAAACATTAGGGAAGTTTATAGACTGTATTGTGAATTTGAGTTACTGCAAGTCTTTTGAGAGAAAGATCTGTGCTTAGTATTTTGACAAATCTGAGGTCTGTACTTACACAGTTGAAAACTAGTCCTTCAATGCAGTAAATTCACCATGGTAAAACCACCCTGAGAAACTTAAGAGATAGACACCATTGGCTAAGTATACTTGTAATTCACTTCTAAGCAGATAATGCAGAGGAATTTTAACACAGAATATATGACACCCAGTGTCTCATGGGGCTTCTGCTCATTTTAGATACTTCTCTTTTTTGCTTCAAGTTTCTAACAAAAATAGTTTTAGTGATAAGGTATTAGTTCTTTCTTTAGGCTCATACATAGCAAGCACAAAGGGTATGTGAAGAGCTAAATTAATTAATGGATACTGTTATCAGGTTTTGATCATGAAAGCTGTGCTACTCATTTGCTTTAGGCTTAAAGCTCTAGTTCAAGAACTTTTACTCCAATTTACAAAACTAAGGAAGAACTTAACAAAAGATTGTCAGGAGATCTGTTCTATAGAGATTTGAACTGCATTATCAATAGTCAAGACAGGAATGTTCCCAACTCCCATTCCTGAAGCTGTAATTGTATTATTTTTACACTCAAACTATTAGTGTCTAATAGGATATAGTCTGGTTCGTGTTTTAAATAAAATCAGTCAGTCCTCACTTTATTGGCAGCATATATACTAAAATTGTAATGATACAGAGAAGTTCAGCATGACCTATGCACCAGGATGACACATAAAATAAAATCAGGTCATAGCAATTCTCATATATACTTCATGTTCTTAAAACTTTTTTCATGCATTAGGCTATGAGAAATACTAGATGCCCTTGATAAAGTCTTTTAAGAGCTACTACTTGCTTAAGAATGTACTAATACTGGGGTGCTTGGGTGGCTCAGCTGGTTAAGCCTCTGCCTTTGGCCCAGGGTCCTGGGATTGAACTTCCTGTCAGGATCCCTGCTGAGAGGGGAGTCTGCTTTTCTCTCTCTCTCTTTCTCTCTGTCTCTCTCTCTCTCTCTCTCTCTCTCTCTCCCCCCTTCCCTTCCCCCTCTGCCCTTCTTCTCAAATCATTCTGTCTCAAATAAATAAAATCTTATTTTATATATATATACGCATATATATACACATACACACATATATATACACACACAATTATTTTACTACAATAGTTCTTAATAAAATAAAAGTGATTATGAACTATTTTATAGAATGGTGATGTAGCACTCTTGAAAAATAGTCTTATACCAAGAAAAAAAAATTCCAGTATTTTTATTGACAACAGTTCTTGAGAGTTCTGTTGTAATGATTTTATGTATTCTATTCACTCATTAACAAATGCCTATTCAATATTTATATACAAAGTATATACTATAAATAAGATAGATATAATCCCAGCAGTGCCAAGGATTATAGTCTAATAAGGATATAGGAAAAAAACAGAACTTGCCACACATGTAGGAATGCTAAGAGAGAAGTGGGACAGGGTGCTATAGAAGCAATGGGGACCTAATGAAGTCCTAGTGGATCAGAGAACTCTTCCCAGTGTAATGATATCCAAGCTAAAACTTTAAGAATTAATTCTCTCTCCCTATATCTATTGTATAGGGAAATCTATCTTTAAAATATACCCAGATTCTGATTACTACAAGTGTCTAAGCCACCATCAGCTTTTGCCTGGACTTCTACAAAAACCCCTAACTAGCATCTTTACTTCTACTCTTGCACTGCAAAGTCATTTTTCAGACTTCAATCAGATTATATCACTTCTTTACATAAAACCATGAAATGATCTCATGTCACTCAGAGGACCTGGAGTCATTGCAGTGGCCTATAGGGCTCTCCAAAATCTGGCCTCCTGTTTCTTCTCTCATCTCCTGAAAACACCAAACCTAACTGTAAAAACACTGCAATTTCTTCACAGATTTTTAGTGTCACATAGCACTCAAGTCAATGTTTTCAAAATTTCACTAAACTTGACCTACGGGTGAAATTGAAGAATGAGCCTCATGATTGAAAAAGTGGAGCTAACTCTGCTGTGTTTCAGATTTCACCTACATATTATTTTGAGATATCTTTTTCGGCTCTTACAGCCATCAAAACCCAGTGATAAACTACATCTAGAACCAAATTTCTGTATCACAAAGTACTAACCCAAGATTTTTCAAATATAATGAAGCATCATTCAATTACATTAGTCTCACTTTTTAAATAGTACGTTTTATGACATGTATAACATATTAGTAGAAAAATACAATATATGTTCATAAATTAATAAGTAACCATTTCTTTGGGCTGTAGAGCTTCCATTTTAGACCACTGGTTTTCTCCACACTTATGTCTAAGAAAAGTTAACTATAAAGATATTTTCAAAAGGGACAGTGTACTGAGGGGGAGCACTTTTTACTTGTTAAGAAAGTTTCACTGTTTCTTGAAGACTCTGCATTTAGTCTGTTTCATTTCTCCTAACTGGAAAACACATTTGAGAGGGAAAGTCAAGATGGAAAGAGATGCAACATGGTTGTCATATTTGATTTATACCACAGCTATTTCAGTGCTAAATTACAGTTATTTTAAAATATACCTCACTCCGTAAAGACCTTTGATAAAATGCAGGATGGTGTTTGTCTCATTTGTTTGGTTTTATTGTTGTAATATTGTTAGGAAAGCTATAAGCTTAGGGAATGTAGTAGAGAGCCAATAAGACTTAAAACAATTCAAAGAACAGCCAGATTGCTTAGGGAGTAGTCAAGAATGAACTCACTTTTAGAGCAACAATGATAAGCTATTATTTACTTTTCTAAAGAACAGGATTGAGATCAATTCATGAGTAAATTCATCAATAAATCAAATATATTTATATAGTACAAAAGAATTATAAAATTTGATTCATTTTTAAGGAATTATGGGATGATGAGTCTATATATATATATAGAGAGAGAGACTATAGTCTATATATATAGTCTATATATATACACACACACATATGTATGCGCATTGTACAGAACAGCATATGACTGTTGTAATATGTGACTCAGCTTATCGTTGCTCTGAGCATTTAGAGAAGGGAACATGAAGAAACAGGGCAGACTGTAAAAAACCGTAGTTTTTCATCTAGCATTGAGAATTGTGGCAAACAGTGCTAATTGCCTACATAATATGAAGTCTCTCCTTCTGCCCCACTAATAGAATCCCGAGGTTTTTAAAGGTAGCAATATACACAGTTACAAACAGGCATTCCTCAAACTCCTTGTCAGCCTTTGGTGGCCACATAAGCCAGTTCTAGCCATTGAGGTGTCAAAGAGAGTCGATTGAGAGAGGCTTCTGAGAAAGCTCTTTTTCTGGTAAAAGTGGACAGACTCCTCTGGCAAGTGTGTTTTGCTTCTCCTTCTTTGTCTTTCCTATCTAGAACACAAATTGATGCCAGAAGGTGCAACAGCCATCTTATGACCAAAGAGAAAAATATATATATATATATATATATATGCTATTTTAGGAAAATAGTCTGGTTCCTGGACTGCTTACTCCCAGAAGCTATCGTGCATCTAATAATAAATTCTTCTTCAAGCCACTGTTTGCCAGATTTCTGTACTCACAGCTGAACACACTTCTGACTGAGAAGAAGGGTTGGGATTTGCATAAGTAAAAATATAGAGGAAAATGCCAAGCATCAAATCACAAGTGGCATCAACAATATAAACATACAATTCAGAATCAGAAATGGATGTCACTTATTTGAACACCAGGTAAAGACTAGAGGCCCCTAGAGTGGTTTGTTTTGACTTAACTGTTTTTAAATATATAAATTGCCTTACTTATTTTGGGGAATTGTTTTTAATTATTTTCTTTTTTGTCATCTGTGAATTATCTGTAAGACATGGCATTCTTTTGTCCATTCTTCTTAAATGAAGGCAGAATTCCATAAGTCCACACTTTTAAATATTCAGTAGTCCATAAGTCAGGTATAGACTCCTGCAAGCTTTCCCCCATTATTTTTAAAGACCTTAAATTGTTATCCCAGATAAGCTGTTATAACAATATTGCCTGTCTTCCAACAAGTTTACACCACAGAGATGATATATTCAGAAGAATTAGTCACCTGAACTGAATGTAATTTCTCAGCAGCATTATGATGGAGGACCATCCTCTATAAAGGATTGGCACCCAGCAATATTTCAGTGAAATCGTATTTTTAAAAGTATGAAAGAGACTATAAGGGAAAGGAGTGAAAGGGTGTGAAGAAAAATTAGAGAGGAAGACAAACCATGAGAGACTCCTAACTCTAGGAAACAAAGGGTAGTGGAAGGGGAGGTGGATGGAGAGATGGAATGATGGGCAGTCATCATTGGGTGTAATGGGCACTAAGGAGGTGATGGGCACTAAGGAGGGCACTTGATGGGATGAGCACTGGGTGTTATACTATTTGTTGGCAAATTAAATTTAAATATTAAAAAAATTGAAAAAAGTGTGATACTATCTCATACTTTTCTTTAGCTATAATAAAGTTTGATTTAATCAAACTAAGAATAAAGAAAACTCTCAATAGTATAAAATATGTAAGGCAGTGAGTGTGTTAGCATAATGTGTTTGAACTGAAAAATGTCAGCTTTACAAAAGGAGGAAAAGCTTCACTTGTCCATTTCCATATTTGGTGTACAGCCTCCCATCAGTTACACAAGCCTCTGATACCCTTTCAACAAAATCTCTTTTCCTACAGTTAGCCTAATCCAGTTCTATTGCTTGTAACCAAAAAATTCTACATATATAGAGTAGCTGGCTATATCTTATATCTGGGTGAATCTTGTAATTTGATAAGTAGATAGCATTCATCTGGTCTCTGGTGAGAAGGAGCTAGTAGAGTTTTATGTAAGGAAGAGTGGGAATCACTGAGATACCTCATTCTTTTGCTCCCCGTAGGAAGTGAATGAATATATAGGCACAGCTTCACATTGAAAAACACTCCCTCGGGCAGCCTGTGTGTGGCTCAGCAGTTTAGCACCGCCTTCAGCCCAGAATCGAGTCCCATGTCAGGCTCCCTGCATAGAGACTGCTTCGGTCTGTCTCTGTCTCTCAAGAATGAATGAATGAATGAATGGAAAGAAAGAAAAAAAGAAGAAAGAAAAGAAAAAAACAAAGACACTCCCTCTGTTCATGGTTGAAATGAGCACATTCTAAATCTCATAGTATGTGTTTTTTTTTTTTAATTTTTTTAATTTTTTTTTTATTTACTCATGATAGTCACAGAGAGAGAGAGGCAGAGACACAGGCAGAGGGAGAAGCAGGCTCCATGCACCGGGAGCCCGATGTGGGATTCGATCCAGGATCGTGCCCCGGGCCAAAGACAGGCGCCAAACCGCTGCGCCACCCAGGGATCCCCATAGTATGTGTTAAACTAGGCTATAAATTGTAAAATTAGATTATGGTTTAAATTACTGAAGTAATTTGGTGGTATTTGAATGTTTATTAAGATTAAAGATATTGCCATAAGACGTGATATTGAAACTGTCACTTTAGGAAGCTTTAATTGATGAACTCTGTTATGTGTTCAGGACAATCCATAATACAAATAAATCCCTTACAACCAAGGTCCGTAGACTTTATAAAATGTAGAATTACTCACTAGTAGGTTGAGAAAAGAGGGCATATACCTAAGAAGAAAGAATAATCAAAGACCACCCTGAATCAGTTGCTTCTTTACCACCAGATGTTAAAGTATTTCCTAGGAAAATGAACATATTCTATAATCACTAAATAGTTCCATGCCTTCTA